ATGTACCATTCTATGAAGATTAACAGAACTTTCTTCTTTTATAAAATGAAAAAACCAAACATTTATGAGTTCTTTAGAAACATTTGAACTACAGATAACCTATGTAATAATAACAATTAATATCAATAACTACAAAAAATTAGTTGTATCACCATATAACATAGCATAGCATCATTAAAAGTTATAGTAGTTTTTTAGTTTTATTTAATTCTCCATGTGTAAGAAGACCTTTCGAAAACAATGATAATTATTTTCCCCCATTATTTTTGTGTCGTACAAATAGTAGAATAGTATAGGTCACTAAATCTAACTCAAATACAAACCTGGAGAGTGTGAGCAATAGTTATCCAAATAGTTTATAGAACTTTCAGTTTTTTGGAATAATTCTGGTCGGTCTATGCGACTACTGTGACTGAGGTGACACTCTCCCGTGAAGTTGTGATACTCCACTGACTTGCATTCAAAATTGCCTTCTTTTATGCATGCTTGTAAGCACTCGTGTTTAGAAACACTATGGATTACTTTGTGGTCATAGCCTATGAGTTCCTTCCCAGGAACCCACTCTCTTGCCAGTAACATCTCACACACTTCTGAAAAATAAATAAATAAATGAAAAACAAAATAGAATCTCAAAGCTTTACTGACGCTGGTATTGAGCAATACTGAAAATTTACCATTATTTAATTCACAATCATGTTCGAATAGTATAAGTGCCTCCCCCCTTTTTTGACTGATGATAATTACTTAATTCGATTTAAAAGATGTTTATAAAAATTTTGAATATTAAGCAAAGGTCTTTCAACGCTGAGATTAAAAACGGAAAAACAAAAGTTCGCGATTCTTCGAACAGCAGGAGCGCTGACCTTTAAGACAAAGAGTTTGTAAATAGTAGGTAGTTCCAGATAACATCCGGTGATTTCCAGGTAAAGCCCACTTCCCCCTGGTTTGTTGAAATTCTCCCATCAAACCACAGTCAACGTCTTCCCCAACGCTCCTGGTGAAAGCTACAGCGTGACAACGTTCATCTTGGCGGCAGTGTTTCACACAGTACGATAAGTTAGGACCAGAGGTGTATTCATACAGGTTGGGCGAAATGCTCGAGCCTAGCATAAACACTCGCTCTTCTGTCTGACAGTGACCTTGGAAATAAAAATAACTAGCATGAGGATATACACTCACACAAATACATGTGCGTTCTTAATGTATTTAACCTCATGTTGTGCTAACCAATATTCACTGGAAATATTACAATCTGATACAATATCTTTGATCAAAAATGCCAGTAATTTATGGATTTCGTGATATGTAAATTTGTATCTAAACTTGGTATATTTGTTTATAAAACTGTATAAAGTAATATGTGTTTACTCTTTGGCTTATTCCCGAATAATCTGGCTTTCATACTGTATAATTAACCCAGTTTACATTGACTATATTTTACTTTTCCTTAAAAACCCAAGTCAAATTAATCGAAGAAATAAAAACGAAATAAAAATACCTTTCACTGAAATACAGAGTGACAAAAATAAGCTCATCCAACTCCATCTAGTGCTTTTTGTCCACATTATCATCCTAGAATTCTGAAAACAAATTGGTCACAAATATCAAGAATGGCCTTTCAAATTAAAATTATTAAACATGAAATTTGGCAAACACAGCTACGATACGAGGGAAAAAACATAGAAAATAATTAAAAAAAGAGTATGAAAGTAAAAAGAGTTACAGCAAAGTATTTAATGAGCTTTCTTCTGTACTTTACAGATCTATAACAACAGATATTCTCCTTTCTATACTGATATCCTGTAGCTCAAACTGGCTTCAAATGTTAAACTACTCAGTGTTCTCACAACATCACAGTTGCATGAATAACGCTTATTATTCTGATCGTGTGTTGTTGGAACTTAACTACTGGGAAACATGTAGCCTTGAACACTAAAATATTTTAGAAGCACCATAATAATAATTGTTTTTCAACTTTCGATAGGATCAGGGTGTCACAACCTCCCATTAGCCTTTTAATGGAAGATAAAAAACTTGTTTGTTGTTTAAGTGCAAATCTACAAAAGTATATTAGTGCTGGGTCCGCTGTGAGAATCGAATTCCGAATCTTAGCAATATCGGCCCTGAAGCTTACTGTTGAGCCACTGTGCGATACCTACGAACCTAAAGATATTGTTCATAGTGAATACAGATTATAATTTTGTTGTTGTTTTTGCAGTTTTAAGTCCAACTTAGATATATTTTATTTAATAAATATAAAAAAATGTATTTTTTAGAACTCGGACAATACATATAACAAAATTAGGCAATTTGTAGTCATACCTTTAACCAAAGAGAAGAAAAACTTATCGATCGCGTATTATAATTTCTGCAAGTATTGTTCACCTACGAAAGAACGGTAAATCATGCTATCGGTTGCTATGTTCCAATTATGAAAACAAAAAAACTGCTATTTTATAAATGAAGACATTCCAAAGAACGACTGAAACCATCCTGGGTGGTATGAAAACGATTAAATAGGATAATAAAACGTTCCACCAACAACGTGCCGCTATTTATCATTATTATCACATCTAGGCTTAAAAAAAGATATTCCTTCGATTAATGTGTATTTTTCACTGTTTCCACTTTCAAAACTTCCTCGTAAAGAATATGTGTGTCGGAGGCGCCGTACTCTTATAGCAGAATACGTATTTGTGCAGAGTTCAATGCTACAAATAAGAATGGTATATTAAAACCCAAAGACAACATAAATATTAACTAATGGTCAATAAACTTACTTTGGGTAAAGTTCAAGGTCATTAAAGCATAAAACTCAAGTTTTTCCCTTTGTGTATATTTGTGAAAAACACTAGCGGTTGTTTGACAAGATTCAGCCAAGGCATTGCGTGTTAAAGATATTGTTGGACGATAGGCGCCGTTTTTTGACAAGACTTAGTCAAGGCATTGCGT